AAGGAATTGACTCCACGGCACTTAACAACACACAACAGCATTTGGGGTGAGAGCTTGAGTAATTGTGTAAAACAGAAGGATGCTTACTGGCAACATGTTTCTGTGTCGAGAGATTAATGTTTCAGACAGTGCTCCCTGGAGGCATGTCTATGTAAAACTTTGATTTCTTTGGGCTTCTGTAGAGCAAAACAAGGTTTGTACGTACATTTGCTATTTCCTATGTGTAATAGGGAAGTTACAAAGTTCAGACTAGGTAACATTCAAGGAAATATGTTTTCCATACTTCATGCACTGATCCTGCTGCCAGAGTCCACTGGGACATATGTGTCCCATATGATATTTACTAAAATCATATACCTAACAAAAATTTTTAATGCCCAATGATTCAGCATGCATTCCATTAGTGAAAAACATATCTACAAAATCTTATCAAAAAATAGTTTAGTAATAAAAGAGTTTTAAGTCAAATCAGCTAGACAAACTAGTAAAAACTGGTTTGCCTTGGGTATTGGGCTAGTTTTACAAATTTTCTGTGTGCAATCAGTTTCAGGACTCCTGGTGGGGTGCTGCAAGATAAGCTAACCACAAGGTTAGCTGTTCAAACCCACCAGCTGCTCCTCAGAAATCCTACACAGTCACCGAGAGTCTGAAGCAACCCGATGGCACCCACCACCACCGCCACCATCAAAAGAGACTCCAACATTAGACTAGAAGCTGCTTTAGGGTAAATTATTATTATACAAGGAGTCCTGGTGTGGTGCTGTGGGCTAAGGCGTCAGACTGCAAAGTCATTTGAACTGCAAAGACGGTGGTTCAAGCTCACCCATTGCTTCTTGGAAACCCTATATAGGGGTCACTATGGGTCGGAATCGACTCGAGGATACTTAACAACAATAGCATTATTATGCAAATACTGTCTGGTTCCGGTTCTGTTTCCATGGCAATGCCGTAAAATATGGTACCATAATTGTGGATGTTCCTTTCATCTTTGAAACATTTTTGATTCCCTGGTTGAAATGTTTCGGAGCCCTGGTGGTGCCATGATTAAGTGCTCAGTTGCTAATCAGTAGGTTGGTGGTTCAAACCTTCCAGCCTCAGGTTCTGAGGGAGAAATACATGGCAGTCAGTCTCCAGGAAGCTACAGCCTTGAAACCCTCTGGGGAGGTTCTACTCTGTCCTCTAGAATCTCTCTGAGTCAGAATGCACTGACAGCAATGGGTTAGTGGAAAAGCTACCCTGATTAACACATTGAATATTAAATAAACTTCAATTAACTTGCATTATTGGCTTAATATGGTTTTTGTTTTAATATGTCTCAGAGTAGAACTGTGTTCCTTAGGGTCAGAGGCAGAATCATCAGGTCTTTCCAAAAAGCCTCTGGGTGGGTTCACACCACCAACTTTTCAGTTTGTTGTAGAATGCTTAACTATCTGTGCCACGCAGAGAGTCCATTAGCACTGCATTTGTTGTTGTTGTTAAGTGCTGTCGAGTCGGTTCTGACTCATAGCGACTGGGTATAAGGTTTCCAAGGAACGACTGGTGGGTTTGAATCACCGACCTTGCAGTTAACTATCCAGTGTTTATCCTACAGTGCCTCATAGTATAAAAAGGAGGGCACCCTTGCCCAGGTGTGTGGGAGACACATCTATGCCTTGTGTTTTTGAGAAAACAGATGAAAGATGACATTCATCTCTGGAATCATGGATTCAGGCAGTCACCAGAGTGAAGCAAAAGAGCTTGTCCACAGGTTTCCCACATCACTTAACATCCTTTGATTCTTTACCTGCAGTGGGCACGAGCCAGCACATTATTAGCGGGACTGTGTCTTCCAGGACTGAAGCGGGCATGAGGTGGCTGGGGTGCTCTTTGGACTGGCCATCCCGGGACCGTGTTCTTTCCAATTCTCGAATTCTCCCACTTGTCCCAGGGTCTCTGCACCCAGGAATCAGGGACACCCATCCCTCCCCCACACCAACGGTACATCCCAGGGCGCTGTGACTCTGTACATGACATGAAGGCGGCACAGAATGTTCCAGCCTTGGATATTTTGTCACCGAGGCTCTTTAATATCACTGCATCCTGCAGGAGTTACAGTAATACCGGTTTAATTATTTCTTTCTCCTGCTGGGGAACTACCTCCATCAGAATGGTTCTACGGAGCCCACCCCCAGCCCGGCAGCAGCCACAGCCGGGTGACAATATTAAACTGTTTTCTAAAACTTGAGCCTCAGCACTCAATTTAATATTAGCAATGTGCTCATCTACTCTGGTCTGCACTAGATAGAGGGAAAATTAGGAGAATTAGAAAGACCCCTTTTGGTGCTGTGAATGTGAATGGAAATTCAGGGAGGCTTCAGGAAGACAAAAGATTCCCCAGGGTTCAGTGGAGACATCACTAGGCCAGTAGAGCCCCCATTTCTCAACAGAAGTCCAGACATGGAATGGGTGACCAGCACACAGGAGTATCAGCGTCTCCTTTGACAGGGACCCTCTGCAAGGGGCATGCTTCCAGGATCAGGCAAGCAGCAGTTCTGTAATAGGTGTGATATTTACATTTTACATCCTGAATGGTGTTCCCCCAACTATGTGTTAGGAGTCCTGGTGTGGCACTGTGGGTTAATGCGCTGGACTGCAAAGTTGATTTGAACTGCAAAGTTAGTGGTTCAAGCTCACTTGGGAACCTTATACAGGGTCACTATGGGTCAGAACTGACTCCACCACACTTTAACAACTACGCATTAGAATGCTTTTTAGAAGCCAAGATGGCCAGACTTTGTCTCTCATACTTCAGACATATTATCAGGAGGGACCAGTCCCTGGAGAAGGACATCATGTTTGGTTAAGTGGAGAGTTAGCAAAAAAGAGGAAGACCCCTCAAGATGGACCGGAACAGGGACCTGCAGCAGCCATGGACTCCAGTGCAGCAACAATTGCGAGGATGGTGCAGGACTGGGCAGTGTTTTGTTCTGCTGTGCATAGGGTCACTATGAGTCAGGAAGGCCTGTATGGCACCTAACAACAACAACTATATGTGGGCATCGTAATCCTTGCATCTCGGGCCAAAGTACCTTTTTGGGGAAGGGGCTCAACTACAAAGTTGGTAAGTGATTCGAACCCACCCAGAGGTGCTGCAGAAGACAAGTATGGTGTTCTGTTTCTGAAAGATCACAGCGTTGGAAACCCTGTAGATCACAGTTCACTTCTGCACACATGGGGTTGATGGCACTCAACAGCAACAAAACAGGAAACCAAACATCACATTTAGAGCCAGCTCCAGTCTCCTTGGGCAAAGCAGGAAATAAAGCGCTGCCTTCCGAGGGTTTTGAGTTTTTATGCAAAATCTGCATCAAAACAGCCCCGACCCAGGAGACATCAAGGCAAGTGGTTGGATCCCCTCAGGGCAAACCCCCTTCCAAGACTAAGACTCAAGGGGAATACACCAGCAGGCATGTGCTCTGACTGGTAACTACGTTGGTCACCAATATGAGGAAGTGAGGGAAAAACAGCAATGCAGCTGCGAGCTAAGTCTGACCACATTCAATAGACTCCTGTGAACCCAGGTGGAGACCTGGTTGGCCAGCAGTGTGGCAAGACCTGGGGACTCCTGGGCCCAGCCACAGAGGACTAGAGTGGAGAGTGAAGAGTCCAGCTGATAAGAAGAGAGGGCATATGCATAAGAACACCCACACTTGAAGATAATACCCACTTGACCTGGCTTCAATGACTGGATGATCAGAGCTCAACCAGAAGAAGAAAGAAGAGGGAAAAAAGAGTAATCGGATACAATTTGATGAACTTAACCTATACCTATGGATGCAGTAGCTCAAAAGAGGGAAAAAATCTTTACAGCGAGGATCATTCCCACCCCCTCCATACACAGAGTAGACAGGGATGGGCAACTTAGACATTGGCTACCCAAAATTTGGGTGTGGGGGGGATACCTACAAAGGCAAGAGTGACTGGCTTACAGCTTTCAAGAGGGAGCCTAGATCCAGAGGGTGCAGGGAAAGGTAGAATCTCCACTGAGTAGTATCCAATCTGTCTCAGTGGAGCTGATGAAAGGAGATGTGGATAAGACTCTGTGGTACAATAGTGAATAATTGCTACCAGGATTGACTGTGAGGGTTGGAAATGTAAAGGTAGATGTTTTGTAGCAACAGAAGGGGAGTGATGGCCTTTGCAGCCCAGGAGTGGAGGTCCCTGGGACCATCAAGGGAGAAGAGAGGAGTGCGGGACCCCACCCAGAGAAGCAGTGACGCCAGAGATGGAGGCAGAGATGATGACATGGAGAGATGGAGTGGCTGGAGACTCTAGACACAGAGAGGGAGAGGGGCTGAGTGCTGACGACTAAGGGGCAGGCTTGCAGGATATACCCTTTGGTTGGTTGATGATGCATGGAGGGGACTGTAACCATGGCAATGAAATGATATACGATAGGATGAATGTAAAATTAATGTTCTCCCATGTAAACTATCACATAATTCACAATAAAACATTTAAAAAAAACAAAAAAAACCCAGCCATGCATGCCCGAGAAGGGGCAGGAGCCTTGTGTTGCATTTCAAGCATCTGAGACTTCCGAGTGACGTTTTCCAAACTGTAAAATCTGTTATGGATAAGGCCTCTCTTGCAAGGATATTACGGCAAGAGAGTCCCAAAGAGTAGCCCCTCCCCGCTTCACCTCCATTCTGCACATTCCACCAAGCTTCATGGTGTGTGTATTGAGACCCTGTGAACTCTAATTGTTCCATGGAACAGAATTTAGGGGCACTTTCTCTGATGAGCTTGGAGGTTTGAATTTGGGATTTTTTTTTTTTTATCTTTTGATCGAAGCAGACAACAACTGACTCAGCCAGGGGAGCAAGGTGGCATTCCTTTTTAAATGTTCAGAAGCTCTTCTCCATGGAGAAGGAGTTACATGGGAGACAGTTTCCGAAGGAGAACCAGAAATGAGGGGTGAGTGAAAGGATGGGGAGCGATGGGCACTGTCCCGGTGATCTCTCTGTCTTCACTCGATGTTCTTGTACTTGGTGAACAGGTTGTAGAGGACCCTCAGGGTAGACTTGAGGTCCAGATTCACCACATCTGTGGAAGGAAGCAGAGAAACCCATGGGTCCTGGTCTGCCAGAAAGATAAGGCATCCATGTGCCCACACGACCTGCTCAGCCCTGGGGCTGTTTCTTCACCAGAGGCCCTGGCCGTCCTCCACAATGACCGCTAGCTCTCTTGAAACTATTGGTGGTTCAGGGGTGAAATTCTCACCTTCCACACAGGAGCCTTGGGTTCGATTCCCAGACAATGCTCGTTAAGCACAGCCATTACTCATCCATCCGTGGAGGCTTGTGTGCTGTTCTGATGCTGAACAGGTTTCATCAGAGGTTCCAGAATAAGATAGACTAGGAAGAAAGACCTGGCGATCTACTTGAAAATCACCCATGAAAACACTGGATCGCAATGGTCTGATCGGGCGGCATTTCATTCTGTTGTGTGTAGGGTCACTGTGAGCTGGGGACCAACTTAAGCAGCTAACAGCAGATGCCTCCTGGCCCCAGTGCCCAGAACAACTGCAAGTCCAAGGCAATATGGGTAGCACCTTCCAGAGACATGCAGATTGCTAAGGGAGCTCCCAGCATGCACTACCACACTCCTGGGAACCAAGGCCTGAGACGGTGATGTGCCTTAGTCCAATCTAGAACTTGTATCAGGACTGGTCTATGAAGCAAGAATGGGTGCGGGGGTGTGGAGCTTTGTAACAACAGACATTTACTGCGTGCCAACCCTAAGGTCGGAGTCCTGGTGTGGCGCTGTCGGTTAATGCACAAGACTGCAAGGTCATTTGAATCGCAAGGTCAGTGGTTCAAGCACACCAGTCACTCCTTGGAAACCCTATACAGGGTCACAATGGGTCAGAATTGACTCCACGGCACTTAACAACAACAATGACAACCCCAAGATCAGCAATGAAAACCCATAGCTGCTCTGTGGGAGAAAGATAAGGCTGTCTTGGAAACTCTATACAGAGTCACTATATGTCAGAAGCGACTCGATCGAAGGCAGTGGGTTTGGTTTTAGGTTTGAAACAACCTGCAGACCAGGGGCCTGGCCCAGTGTGGTCATCAGGGAGACTGGGCTTTCTTCAGCAGGACAGTTATTTGGTGAGAGCCCCTGGCAGGGCACTTATAGAACCAGACAGCCCCCTCTGGCCCCAGTATGGTGGGAAGGGACCTGTCTGTCAGGGATTCAGGGCACCTAGTTCTTCTCCTCACTGGCTTTGTGACTTCCCTGCTCTGGGCCTTAGCCTTTTCATCTGTGAAATGGGCCCACTGGACCAGATGATACTAATGACTCTTTGAGCTCTGAGTTCCTGTGGCCCCACCCTGCCCTCCCCCTGCAGGTTATGAACCTCATGAGGTAGAAGTGTCATCTGCCACAGACAGGGCAGGCTGGGTGGCTTATCCTGAGCCCAGGAGTCCTGGTGTGGTGCTGTAGGGGAAGCACTGGACCACAAGGTCGGTTTGAACCGTAAGATCAGCAGTTCAAACTCACGAGCCACTCCTCAGAAATGCTATACAGTGTTGCTATGGGTCTCGGCGGCATTTAACAACAACAAAGAAGGGAGCCCAGAGCTGGCACCATCAAGGAGAAGGCCAGGACTCCCAACGTAAAATGGCTCACCCATGATATGTCATGGAAAGGAAGTCAGAACTTGAACTCAGGACTTTGGGATGGTTCCATCAGGGGGCCCCCGGGTCTCCCTACCAGTGCTTCAGCCCAGCTCCTGGCCAGGCCCATGTGGGCAGTGGGAGAGTTGTAGAAACTCCTGAAAAGGGGGTCCTCACTGAGACAGGAGGGAGGAATCAGGTCTTTAGGGGGTGTGGCCACAGGAGGCCCCTGGACTCCTGGTGTGGCTCTGTAGGATAAAAACTCAACCTTAGGCCCGTTTGAACCTCAAGATCATGGGTTCAAACTTAGCAGATGCTCCTTAGAAACCCTATATAGTGTGTCTATGAGTTGAGACCAACTCAACAACACTTTAACAACAACGAACATAAAGGTTGTGGTTCAAACACACCCATGGAAGAAAAGCCATGGAGACCCAAAAACATTGTTGTTGTTAAGTAGTACCGTTGAATCAGTTCCAGTTCGTAGCAACCCTGTATAAGGTTTTCAAGGAGTGCCTGGTGAGTTTGAACCCCTGAACTGGAGGTTCAAATCAACCTTGCAATCCAGTCAATAAAACCCTGTAAAGCAGTTCCACTCGGACACACAGGGAGCCCCCCTGGCATTAAGTTCTCATTCCTCAGCCTGATCAGTGACCGCTTCCTGTTTTCACAGGAAACGTGGACCGGCTTGAACATTCATACCCCTGCCTAGTTTCCCCAAAGCTGAGGTGAAGTCTAGCTGATGCTCACACCAGGACCACAGTGTCAAGCAGAGGAGCGAGAGGCACCCACTCCACTTAACCCTGGGGAGTCAGGGATGGGGGTGGGGAGGGTGGGTGGGGGTTCCAGCCCACAGGGAACCTGGAGGGTACACCAACAGCATCTTAAAGAGGGGGCCATGGGGATACAGGCTGGCAAGCTGCCCAGAAGTGATGCAACCACAAGCCAGGATCCATCTCATGGGTTCCTCCCTCAAGCCGCGCCCAGACACGCCCCAGACACACCCAGACTGAACTGGTCCCACCCTCAGCCCCGCCCACTCCACTGCTGGCCATGCCCATGACCCCCTCCCTGCCATGCAGCTACTTTTCTCTCTGGATGCTCCTTTCTTGAGGGCCGTGCCCCCATATCTCAGGGAAGACCCAAGAGGACACTTGGCTCAGCCAACCCCCACCCACTCTGGGCCGCCAGGGTCTCTGCCCGCCCCCGAGTGATGGCTGAGATTTCTTCCTCAGTCTCCCCATTACCCCATCACCCAGCATCACCTACACGAGTCACACACCCAGGTGCACTGGCCTCTGCCTCATCTTTTAGAAGAGCAAATTGTCTAGCCCCATCCCGTCCCTCCTGAATCAGAGACTGGGTAGGAAACAGCCATCTGTGCTTGACAAGCCCCCACAGTGGACTGGAGAGGCCCTTTTCATGGTCCCTTGAAACGGGAGCCAGGTACAAGACTGGGGTGATTTCCCACTTTGTGTGAGTACCCTGGTGGACATCACCCAACGCTCAGTAAATCTCACTAAAGCCTTTAATACATTTTCAAGGCAGGAAACAGCAACTGCCAGATGCCATCTGGAGAGGCACTTAACTCCCAAAACTCGAGGCTAGAGACCACCTCTTCAAAGTGAAGAGGCTATGAATGAATTGCCGAGGGTGAGGTCACAAGGTCAGCAGAACCCAGCCTCGGGTTCTGGCCCCTTGTTGCCAGCCCCCCGCTCCCCCAGGGCCCCAGGACAGGAGGCATTACCTTCAGGACGAGCCTTGGGTTTCTTGAGTCCCCCATCCAGCATCAACTCAAAGGCGAACACCACGTTGTGGACCTACCCCAGAAAGCCAGAGTTAATGGTGGGCAGACAAGCTCTATGTCCCACCCCACTAAGCCCACTGCTCTCCTAGGGGCAGATGGAACCCAACTGGTGTGGGAAAGACCTTCAGAATCATTGTCAACAAGGGCTCGGGTGGGCAGAGAGAGTGGTAAAGATGTCCAGGAGGCAGACACTGTAGTTCCTAGGTGGTCTTACTCCTCCCACTGGTGATGGAGGCTTCAGAGACACACAGGTGAAGGAGCAAAGTCTGTCCCTAAGGACATGGCTACAGACCTTGGGCACAGCCACATGATGAGAAGGTGAAAGTGACTTCATTTTACAGAAGGGGAAACAGAGGCTCAGTGAGGACATGCCACTGCCCAGGGCACATCCACGCAGTGAGGAAGTGATAGTGACCCATTGTACAGATGAGGAAACTGAGAGTCAGGACAAGCCACTTTTCAGAGGCACCAGCATCCAGTGTCTGTAGGACAGCCTCGTTAGATTGTCAGACTCTTTCAGACATGGTGCTCCCCAGAGCAGGGGCAGTCTTGGTATGGAGTGGGCACCGTGGTCCCATCAGAACCGTAATCCGACGGTGGCCATGAGTTTCAGCCTGCAGGACCTAGGTTCTGGCCCATGACATGCAAAATGCCAGGGAAAGGTGGACACGTCCCCAGCCCTGGCATGATTCATCCCTGAAAATAAAGGGCTTAGAACCACTCAGCCCCTGAGCAGGCTTGAAAGTTTCACTCTGTTAAGGGCTGTGAGAATCACATGGAGCGGGAATAAAATGTGGGCCCACTTTGGTCTGGATTCAGAATCTGTGCCCTAGGAAGGAGGGAAATGGGGAACGTAATTCATGTCACTGGACTGAACACTTCAAAGTGGTTAAAATGGCAAACTTTGACATTTACATATTTTACTGCAAGAAAATAAGTAATTAAAAAAAAAAAAAAAATTAGTGTCCTTTCTCCCAAACATCCTGCCCACGCTCCAACCAGTCTTCAAAAAGGTCATGGAAAAATGAAAAGATAAAGCAATTTTCCCACGAACGTTTTGAAACCACAGTGTATACATTCGCATCAGCAGACCACCAATGAAAGAATTCACACACAAACATACACAAACACACTCAACAGGTTTAAATCAAGATGGAGACACCATGTGAGCAAACAGAAAAAGAAGAAAAACGTCAGGTTTAGAAGATTCTTCCCCAAAGCAGAGCTAATCAGTACCAATCTGGGAAGCTCTCCAAGAATCTCTTCCACCAGGCTCTCAGGGTCTGAAGAACCATCTCTCCAGTCACAATGGGTAATCAGAGAAGGAATGGCCCTGCTTACCACTGAGCTGGACAAGAGGCAGTCATGCTTGCTCCCAGAAACCACTCAGGGGCTCTGAGAGTGATCAAGCCCCAGAACCCACCCCTTTCCCCAGAGAGAACAATTTAATGCAGGCATGTGCCCTCAAGACCCATGTTTTAGTTACTCGGTTCAACAGTAATTGGTCTTAAAGTACAGTTTCCCTTCTACTTTCTTCCCAGCCCGAGGAAACTTCCAGAAAGAAACTGCCACAGTTCCTCTGTTTGTTATCTCTCAGGACCATGCTTTCACCCCAAACAACCTTTATGGCCCAGCTGAGACACTTCCTCTGAGGAAAATAAAATCAGCAGGCAGTGACTAGGAGGTTGATAGGAAAGTGGGAGACCTCTGAGGCGGGGAGGAACTGGACCCCACAAAAGGCCCAGAGCCCCACGCCACTGCTACGAGCCACACGTCGGCTGTACTCCCCTGCATTCCTCTTCTCTGAAATTCAAGGAACTTTAGAAAACCTGGCCTGGTAAAGAAAGAATAGAAGGTTCCAGTCAGGAGTTGGCTCTTCCAGTTCCGCCCTGGGCTAGTCTCCGCCTTCCCTAGGTTCCGTTTCATCCTCTGGGGAAGTTGAGGAAATCAAATGAGGAGCTTCGTGTTGTGGACTGAATTGTGTCCCCTGAAAATGTGTGCTGAAATCCTAACCTCTGTGCCTGTTAAGACCCCGTTTGGAAATAGGGGGGTTTCTCTTGTTGTTAGGGTGGGTCTTAAACCTAACCACTTTTGAGTTATAAATAGTCAACATGGATGCAGAGAGACACAGAGGGGGAGACAGAAGTCAGAAGAGAGGCCTGCCTTTAAGCAAAGGGACACCAAGGACTGTCATAAGTATGGTAAGCACAAAACTATCTCATGAAGCCTTCTGTGAACTAAATGAATAAATAACTTACGAGGGAGTTTTAAACGTTCATGCAAAAATTCCATTATCTTTCAACTTCTTTTTTCCACAAATTTTTGAAGCCCCCCTCTTATGTCTTGAGCAATGCACCCTTTTAAATAATTATCAAGTGTGGCATTGTAAGATAAGCACTGGACTGCTAACCACAAGGTCGGCGGTTCAAACCCACCAGCTGCTCCTAGGAAACCCTATCCAGGGTCGTTATGAGTCAGAATAGACTCCACAGCACTTAATAACAACATATGAGATTGAAGCGGCTCTAAACCAAATATGAAAACTCCTACAGACAGTGGGTCAACCTTAACGATGGGGACGCATTGTGACATACGTAATTGCAAAACCGATTGCAGAGCAATGGCTGTCTCAAATATGTGGCCTTTTTAGCCTTGGGTGTGCAATTCTTCTAAGATGATTTGCTAGGCCACAATGTTGCAAAGGGATGGATTAGTCGTCTATGCAAATAAGGTATCCAAAATCCTTGCAGGGATTGGTTAATTCCCATGCAAACTAACTGGGTGTGGCCCACCTTGAGGATTGGTCAGTTTTGCCATCCTGCTAGGCTTAAAGCAGTCAACTCTACAATGATTAGCAGGACCTAACTACCATGAAGAAAAAACAGCCAGGAGTGGAATGTATCCTCTTGACCTGGGGTTTCTGTGCTGCGAACCTTCTAGACCCAGGAGACAGAGCTATGCCACTGAAGACAGAGAGAGACCATGAGAGATGGTAGTGTCACCAGACAGAAGCTGAAGGGACTAGCAGATGGCTGCTGCGTGCTCACTGAGTACCTTCGGGCAGGAAGCTTCCTGGGGGATGGAGTGGTATAACCCTGGGCACTGTCAGCAGAGCAATATTTGTTTGTACAAGGCAGAGACTAAGAGCGAAGCCTGCCTCCCTGCCCAGCAGAGAACAGACCGACAGCTTTCTTGGTTGGGTGGAAGCTGTCCTGATTAACAAGATGTATCTTGTCTCCTGAGTTGTATACTGTTACCTCCAACTACATCCTGCCTCCTAAATTGTAGCCAGGTAACCACAAGGTTGGCAGTTCAAACCCACTAACCGCTCCTCGGAAACCCTCTACAAGGGTCGCTATGAGTTGGAACTGACTTAATGATACTCACCACCAACACCTCCCTAGTAAACCCTATGGGAAACCTGGTATGATGCTGTGGGTTAATGCGCTGGACTGCAACGCTGGTTTGAACTGCAACCTTGCAGTTCAAGCTCACCAGCCACTCCTCAGAAACCCTATACAGGGTCATTATGGGTCAGAACCGACTCAACAGCACTAACAACAACAAAAAACAGTAAACCCCACAATGATGTGCATGGTCTGGGGGCTCTGTGGGGACTATTGCAAAGCATTCTGGGACCCAGCCGAGGAGTGCAGTGCCGAGGGAGGGATGGCTGGTGTCGGAATTGGTAAAAAGGTTGGAAGGCAGAGACATGTCTGACCTCCTCAGTGGCCCTACAGGGCAGTGTAGAACTGTCACCTCAGGTTTCCAAGGCTATTGCCCTTATGGGAACAGATTGCCTCATCTTTTCTAATGAGTTTTTGGTTAGTAACCAAATGCCTAACCACTGACACCAGGGTGTCCTTTGTATATTTTTTTTGGTGCATAAATTCACCAAAGAAAGAAACCACCAGAAATGTCAGCACACTGAGAGTACTTCACCTCCACCCTTCCCACAGGCCTCTCTTCGCTCCCCCCCCCCCCCCCCACCACAGTTGTTATGACCCCTTTCAGTGGGGAGGACAGTGGACGATGGTCCCTAAAATACCTTCCCTTCATGGTTCCTATTCAGAAGAGAAGGCGGATGACTCAGGCGTCCTCGCTGCCTCCCAGGACGGGACAGCAGCAATAGAGACTTTCATCCTCGTCTCAAAATGAAGAAAGTGGGGGGCTGGGGTGATGTGACCCCCACCTTTTGTGAAGTGCCTCTGCTTGTTGGAGAGAAATCAGTTTCAGATCTCTGGGCTCAACACACAGTGCCAGCCAGTCCATTCTTAGAACAATTTCTGTCTCCAGAACAAGACGGCCGCGGTCAGACACCCTGAGGCCTGGAGGTGCACGAACCTCTTCATTCTGTCTCCTAGGGCCAGTACACCCAGCACTGTGACCCCATAAAACAGGGAAGAACTACCCCATAGGGTTTCCAAGACTGTAAGTCTTCATTGAAACAGACAGCCGCTTTCTCCTCCAGAGCTGATGGTGGCTTCAAACCACTGACCTTCCGGTTAGCAGCCTAATGCTTACCCCACTGCACTACTAAGGCTTCTACCTATGTCCAGGATAGTGGTGGTGGTGGTTCTGTGCCGTTGAGTCAGTTCCGACTCATAGCGACCCTGTAACAGGGTTTCCGAAGCTGTAAATCTTTATAGGAGCAGAAAGCTTCATCTTTCTCCCATGGAACAGCTGGTAGTTTCGAACTGCTGACCTTGCGGTTCACAGCCCAATTCGTAATCACTATGCTATCAGAGGTCCTTGTCCAGGACAGTAGTAAATACATTTAAGACAACATTTGTCCTTTGAATGATCATCTTTGTTTCTCTCTCTCCCCCAACAGGGATTCCACTTTGCCCTGATTCCTGATGCCTCTCAGCAGATAAGACACCAGCAGCCTGACTGTGAGGTGCCGGCAGTGAGCAGATGGATAAATCCCGGCTGCTACCAGGATACATGGTCCACCCCCTGACTCCCGGGTCTGACACTTTAGGGAAACAAAACAACAGATGTCTGAGTTCAGAGCAAGACAGACAGGGGGTAAGTTAAGGGTCTGAGGGCAGGGCACCAAATAGGACCGCTGCAGGCTGAGCCCCGGAACCTTCAGGCAGGATAAAAACTAGAGGGGTACCCATTCAGCACGTGGGTGGAGGGGAAACTGGCATGTGCCGACCCCCATCTAACTGAGACCCTGGGACGCCAGCAGTCATACTTTGGGATTTTCCCTAAGAAATCAGTCCAAAAGGAATGGAAGAAACATATTCAAGAAGGCATCCTAGGGCTTTTGTTATTTTAATATTCCAACTGCGCGTACATATATATAGAGAGAGATAGACATAGAGAGAGAGAGAGAGAGAAAGTGTGTCCTGGTGTGGCGCTGTAGGATAAGCACTCGACCGTAAGGTTGGTTTGAACTGCAAGGTTAGCAGTTCAAAGTCACCAGCCGCTCTTCGGAAACCTGATAGGCAGTTGCTATGAGTCAGAACTGACTCTTCGGCACTTAACAATAACATATAAATATAAATAAACAAATCCACTGCCTTGGAGTCGATTCTGACCATAAGATAGAGGAGAATTACTTTGTAGGATTTCTTAGACTGTAAATTTTTATGGCAACAGACAGCCTCATTTTTCACCCATGAAGCAAGTGGTAGGTTTGAACTGCCGACCTTGAAGTTAGCAACCCGCAGCACCCTAGGGCTCCTTCACACACACACACACACACACACACACACACACACACTCACTCACTCACACACACACACATTAACCCTTCAGTTATACAGCTGATTCCAACTCACAGAGACCCTACAGCAGACAGTAGAACAACCCCAAAGGGCATCCAAGTTTTCAGTCTTTTCAGAAGTCAGCTGCCACATCTTTCTCCCTAGAAGCATCTGGTGGATTTGAACCTCCAAGCCTTTGGTTAGCAGCCCACTGTCCACTAGGGCAATCTTTTTCTTAAGGCTATATAGCACTGTAGGGTAAGCACTGAACTGCTAACCTCAAAGTCGATGTTTCAAACCCACCAGCTGCTCCTCAGAAACCCTATAGGGTTGCTACGAGTTGGAACCAAGTTGAAGGCACTTAACAGCAGATACCTTAGATTTATTCAGTCAGTGTGCTGGAAACTCTGTCACACTGCAACACTTTTTTCAAATCCTCACAATCAACTTTTGACACTGTCATTGCTAGCTGCTATCGAATCTACTAGCCCTTCCTTGGGAGAAAGATGAGGCTTTCTGCTCCCGTAAAGATTTACAACCTTGGAAACCCTGTACAGGATCGCTATGAGTTGGAATCGACTCCTCGGCACATAACAACAACAACAACCAGAGATGGCGAAACAGATGGAGACATGGGGAGAGGAGCAGCTGAGAACTCTAGATTCATAGGAAGAGAGGGACTGAGAGCTGGCAGCCAGGAGGCAGACTTGCAGAATGTGCCCTTTGGTGGTGTAAATTATTATATATGCCTGAGTGTTTAAAAAGAATAAAATAAAAAAGAGCGGAAATGAAGAGTTAAAATGACTGTTAACTGATAGTACATGGTGGAGATTATAATCATTGTAATTAAACAAAGTAAAATAAATAAAATAAAAACAAACTGTGCCATTTTAACCATTTTTAAGTGGCATTAATCCACTCACTATGCTGTATTGCCATCACCACCATGACCCCAAATAGAAACTGGTACCCATGAAGCAATACCTTCCCATCCAATCCTACCTCAACCCCCTGGTAATCACTAATCTACTTTTTGTCTCTGTCTCTGCCTGTTTTAGACACCATCAAACCTGTGAAAGCCAGAGCCTGTGGAAAGCAGAAACTTGTCAGAAAAGGAAAACACAAATATTTTCTACCAAAGTGAGCAACAGAAAAAAATGGTCAGACTTGTTGAGTCAGTTCTGACTCTTAGCAACCCCAAGGTCCACCAGAACAAAACACTTCCTGGTCCTGTGCCATCCTCACAATCACTACTGTATTTGAGCCTGTTGTTGCCATCACTGTGCCCAGCCATCACGCTGAGGGCACCTGGTCAAAGGTGGGGACTTGCAAGACCTGGAGAAACAAGGCAGTCGCCTCCATTTCCAGCTCTCCCGGCTGTCACCATATCCCACTGAAGTCGAAGCACAAAATATGGGACCTTTTGTGCTGGGATTCTTTGAGTCCCCATAATGTTCTCATTTCTCTTTATGGCGGAATCTTGGTCCATTACATGGGTGGAGAGCATTTTGTCTGTCCATTCATCGGTTGATGGACACTTGGGTTGTTTCCACCTTTGGGCTCTTCTGACTAGTACTGCCAAGGACATTGATTCTACTGTTTTTTATAGAGAAAAACATAGAAAAGCCCCTGACAGCTCAAGAGAAGGGAACAGCGAAGACACCAGGGAACAGCGAAGACACCAGCAGCAGGACCATCGGAAAATGGTACTTAGGAAACACACGAAAAGCAATAGAACCACCAGGTGTGGTGCAAACACAGCATGAGAAAGAGAAGGGTGGCCAACCCTTCTTATCCTGGATAGAGATGATCTGAAATTACAGAGTCCCGTGGAAATGGGCCAGGCAGGAGAAGAGCAAGGGAAATCTTTGCTTTGCTTCTGATTCTGATGTAACTGCATTTAAAGGGATCAGAAACCACTGAGGATTGCAGTTTGGTTTCTGATCCTTTAAATACAATTACATCTCATGGTAACCAGTCCTTGCAGAAGGACATCCTACTTGGTAAAGTACAGGGTCAGTGGAAAGGGGCTAGACCCTCCTCACGCTGGACGACACGATGGTAGCAGCTGGATGACACAATCTATCATACCAAAGATTGTGCGGATGGTACCGGACCAGGCAGTGTTTTGTGGGGCTGCTAAGAGTCAGAACTGACTTGATGACCCCTAACAACAACCTCAAATGGTTAATGTTTAAAAGAGCAAAGCCAGGCCACAGGAAGTGTTGTCAGGTGATGGTCTATACTGCATTCCCACCAAGGTTCCTCGGGCCGTTCCCAGGGACCAAGACTGTCCACGCACCTTCTGGTCAAAGCTCTCTGGAGTCAGGTAGAAGTTGTGGAGTGGGACGAAGTAGTCTTCCAGAAGGCCCATGAGCAGAACCAGGTAGACACCATCTGCAAACTGAAGGGAAGCACATGGTCAGGTGTCTGGGCAGTGCGAGGGAATATGCGCAAACAGTCTGTGTCTACTCAGGACTGAGCAAGAGCACAAGCTGCCCACCCTTTATTCTGGCTGAGAACCTGGAGCCAGGAGGCCAGGGAGCAGGTGCAAAACACCAAGCTCAGTACAGGGCTCCTCACTGGTAAAAAAAAGTCTATCAAGAGAAGAGAAAGACATACATGCAGATAAGCATGTACACACATGTACATATACACATTGATGTATGTGCACATGTGCGCACACAAATGAAAGTAGACACACAAACACATACATGCACACATGTACACATATACTCGTGTACACACATGGACACATGACCGTGCATGCAAATGTGTGAACGCAGATACTTATACACACATGCATATGTGCGCACACATGAAAATTCATGTACTCGCACCTATGCATGGACAGATAACCATGTACACAGATACACATGTTTAGACACAGGTGCACATGTACACATGCCCGTGTACATGGATATACACATATACATGCACACACATACATGCACATACATGCCTGTGAATAGACATTTGGACCTATGTCTATGTGACTCCCAGGACATCAAGACTTTAATGACTTATATATCCGTTGTTGTTAAGTGCCGTTGAGTTGGTTCTAATTCATAGCAACTGTGTATAGGGTTTCCAAGGAGCAACTGGTGAGTTTGAACAGCTGACCTTGCGGTCCAGTGCATTATTCTCTAGCACCACACCAGGCCCTGATGTATTCATTAAAACGCTCAGATTCCTTTGCAACAAGAAAAAGACACCTCTGTGCATTGCTGTGGCCAGTAACTCTTCCAGGTGAGCCAAGGTTAGAAATGTGTCTAAGAACTCTTTACAGTGTGAAGATTAAAAAGAAAAGAAACAGAGAGATTGAGTGGATAAAGTTCATGCCCTGTCCAGGCTCAATCTAAGGTATTCTGGCCATCAGTACTGATGACCAGGCCACACCGCTGATGGCCCCGAAAGTGTGCCCTGCCTGTGTCCCACAATCCCACCTATAAACGTTGACCCCGAGGACATCAATCAGCAAGGGCACAAAGCCTCCAGTAACAGAGGGTTCCTTCAATGAAAGGCTTTATAACTGGGTGCTTCAATCATGGCAACCCCATGCCTGTCAGGGCAGAGCTGTGCTCCACAGGATTTTCAGGGGCTAAATTTTTGGAAATAGGTCACCAAACCTTCTTCCAAGGAACCGCCAACCTTTCGTTGAGCACATTAACCACCAACCTTTCATTGAGTACATTAACTGTTTGCTGCACCCTGGGACTCTTACAATTGGATAAAAGGCATTTACAAAAAGGGGTAAGACAGATAGATGGATAGATAGATGACAGATAGACAGATTATATAGGTTGATAGAGAAAGAGATTAGATAGATCAGCAGAACATCAGAGGGTAAAACACAAACACACACATGCACACTCACACACACAAAGACATCCATAATATACTTGTTAAGTGCTATTGAGTCTGCTCCAACTCATGTTGTTGTTGTTGTTGTTGTTGTTGTTAGGTGCCATTGAGTCAGTACCAACTCATAGCAACTCTGAGTTGAAGAGAGAACGAAACACTGGCCTGTCCTGGGCCAACTTCACAACTGTTACTATGCCTGAGTCCACCGCTGCCGCCACTGTGCCAATCCATCTCATTAAGGATGTTCCGCTTTTTCTCCATCCTTCCACCTTGTTGTTTTTGTTGTTGTTAGGTGCCATCGAGTGGGTACCGACTCTTAGCAACCTTATGCACAACAGAACGAAACACTGCCTGGCCCTGGGCCAACCTCATATTTGTTGCCATGCTTGAGCCCATTGATGCTGCCACTCGGCCAATCCGTCTCACTGGGGGTCTTCCTCTTTTTCTCTGACCCTCCACCTTACCAAACATGATATCCTTCTCCAGAGACTGGTCCCTCCTGACAATATGTCCAAAGTATGAGAGACGAAGTTTGGCCATCCTGGCCTCCAAGGAGCACTCTGGCTGCACATCTTCCAACACAGATCTGTTGGTTCTTTGGGCAGTCCATGGCACTTTCAATATTCTCCTCCAACTGCGTAACTCAAAAGCATACGGTCTTCCTTATCCACTGTCCAGCTTTCACATGCATGAGAGATTATTGAAAATACGTAATCCAAGGATCA